ACCACAGCTGTAAGATATCACTGACTTGGTAGTATTCCCCCACCTTCAAAACCCTTGTTGGGACAGACCCTAGCTGGACAGCTCTAGTCACCTGTCCAGGCCTTGCCCAGAAAATCCATATGCACTAAGGTGACCCAGAGACTGTAAGCCTTGGCCAGAGTCATGGTGTGTAAGTCAAGTTGGTCAGGAATAGTGAAGTGGCTGGAGCCGGTCTGCCGATCCTATTTTAAAGAGGAACGTGGGGTGGTAACCACATGACTGCCCATCCAGACATTGCCGTGGCAAGCACAAGAAGGAAACCACTTCTTTCTTGTGTGCTGCAGAGATTACTGTCCGCTTCCTGCCAGTGTGTCCCTCAGCTCCCATCAGGCCTGGTGCTCTGGTTCTGGGGTCCATGCTAGAGCTGATTGGTTGTTCCAGGTGCTCCTCCTGCCCTGCCCATCTCCTCACTCGTGTGCATCAGTTTGCTTGTGCCTGCTCCTTAACAACAGCGTATAATTCAGGATGTGATTGGGTGGCATGAGTCAAAACTCACAGCTTGAGGAAGGCAGCTCTAGCCGGGACCTTGCGTTCCGCTTGAGAAGGAAGGCATAGGCATTTGCAGGAGGGGTGGCTCAGAGTCCTGTGGGAGGCCCTAGCTGCCCCATCCTTCCTCTGAATGTGTCCGATCCATTCTCCCAACATGAACTTGACACTCCAGCCAGGAACTCTCAGCATCCTGCCTGGACACGAGCAGCTGAATGTCCGTCACTCTGGACAGTTCCTCCCAGTCCTGCCTTGCCATTGGCCTTGCTGGGCTGCTGGAGCTGAGCCACCCTGCCCATACTTCCTGCTAATGTGTGTGATACCTGCTCTAACCAGGCTCTGGGTAAGGCTGGGGAATCCAAGCAGCAAGGCTGATACAGGGCAGGAGCCAGTTTGTTGCCTGGAGAAAGGGTGTTTGGGTGACCGTAGCCAAAGGATCCTTGTGGTAAGGAAGGACACCCTGAGTTGAAGGAACTACGGCGGAGAAGCCCTGAGAGGTACCTGCCAATCTGGCTACCAGTCAAATGGCCACTCTTGTGTGCGCCGGTCCCACTTTCTTTCTAATGTCTGTCCATGTGACCCTGCGTTATTTCCTACGGACACCTGTATGGCATTCATCCAGGTGGGTGGCATTCTCACATCCAGCATCTCTGTGATGTGCCCTGTCGCCGGAAGGAGCTCCAGAGGGTGGGATACCATGTGTGGGGAGGTCTCCTAGTACTCACAGAGGGCAGCAAGTAGTAGGCGCTTCCTGTGTGCTGAGTGGATGGAAGATCCTGATGATGAGTGAGAGACATATGCCAGGGTTTCTGTGAATGGGGCCTAATGAGGCTGGGAAGCTGCATGATAGAGGGGCCTTGGGCTAACCATGCCAGGATGGATGTGGCAGCACCAGCCCAGGCTGAGGGATGCCCTCTGTCCTCCTCCAAGGTGGCCAGTTTTTCATTTTTATGGCCCACTGTGAGCATCGCGCTATCTTTATTGGACAGCATTGCTTGTTAGTACTTACTGGTTTGGCCATGCAGTGACAGCTTGGACTACGGGGGTTTATTTCCCACGGGGATTCCCTCTCCTGAGGTGAGGTTGTGGCTTTGGAGAAGCATGTCCCTTCTTCTAGGGTTAGTTCAGGGCCATGTGTGCCTGTCCCGATGTACCTGTGTGTCCACACAGAATGATGCCTGGAACATGCGCAGCTGAGTGTGCCCATGAGGACCTGTGTGTCTACATGGGAACTTACATGTAGCCTGTGGGAACCTGAGTGCAGTGGAGCATACCTTGTGTAGCTTTGTATTTACACAGGAACATACATAAAGCATGTGTCTAGCTGAGTGGCCCCTATGTACACACATGCTTACCTTGGCATATCAATGTAGCCTGTGTGCTTCCGAATGCAGACACCCATATGAAACTCTACATGGGCACACCTGTTAGCCTGTGTGCACATGAGTATAGTTGAATGTTCTCATTTGAGTTTGTGGGTGCACATGGACATATCCATTTAACCTATGTGCACCTAGGTTAACTGTAAGTAGGTATACATGTGGGAACTTGTGTTTACTTGTGTATATGAGAGTATCCACATGGCACGTGGCATCTGTGCAAATCTGTGCCCATATAGAATGCATGTTCTCACTTGATTATCTCCTGTGTATACCTGTATAGTCTTCCCCATATCTGCCAGCCAGGCAAGCGGCTTATAACATCTGTGCTGTGTGTCTGTGTGTCCTCTTATGTATGTCCATGTGTATTAGTATCTGCAGGCCTTCAGGAATATATAACGTGGTCCCTGGCTCTCCTGACTTCTGTGCCCATGTGGGGATGATATTTTTCCTTGCAATATGGTAACCTGTACACTGTTGGTTGCCCCATTTTGTGGCTCCAAGATAGCACATTCTGTGGGCAGTGTGCCGGTATATTGGGATGCAGGCTTCAGAGCTTGGCTTGATTTGGGGACCCTGTGCTCTGGGCAGCTGGTTTCTCTGTGAAATCCAAGTGTGTGGAGGAGAAGCAGGAGGGAGCACCTTACTCTATAATTCTGAGATTTCATTTCCGTGTGTGGCGGAGATGGCCACATTTAATTTCCTGTCCATTGGGATAGGCTGACTGGAATCTCTGGCAGAGCATACAGAAGATGGGTTGCTGGCTGTCACAGAGAGCTCTCTCCACATCTCTTTGGCTGAGCCAGCTGTGGTGGACCCTTCTCTAGATGGGTGCTGGGTGGGCTTCAGGGCGTGAGTCTCCAGACGGTGGCCACTCAGCTTGTGGTTATTTCTTCCTTGCAGGTCAGCTGGCCGCTGGAACCTGTGAGATTGTGACCCTAGACCGGGACAGCAGCCAGCCACGGAGGACGATCGCCCGGCAGACAGCACGCTGTGCATGCAGGAAGGGGCAGATTGCAGGCACCACTCGAGCCCGGCCTGCTTGTGTGGACGGTAAGAGCTCCCGGCCTTCTGGTGACACTTCAGGGTACCGAGCCCAGTCTTGGAAGGGCTTCTGTGCCAACAAGCATCACTCTGAAGGAGATTTCTTCAGAATGCTCTGAGGCCAAGACCTCGAGGTGTATTCCTAGGGTCAGACCTCTGGGCAATCTTTCACTTATTTGGCTTTTCACAATCTTTTCACTTATTTGGTATCCATGGGCAGCATGTCCTGTGCACATGGGGGTGGCCACTGACTACATGGTTCCAGGTATCAAAAACCTGAAGTCTCCAACCAGATACGGTTCCTGTTCTCAACGCACGAAGATGTTCATTATAACAAGCTGGGCCACATCAGTGTGATAATTGTTCCCCAAAGCCAGGAAAGCTCTTGAGAAAGGGATCAGCAGAACCTGGGGAATGGTCAGAACAGGGCTGACAACATCCTGAGCTAGATTCCCAGATGGTACCCACTGTGGATCTCAGATCTGGCTGGGTACCTTGCCAGGCTTTATTTTGCCCAAGACTTAGGCAAGAGGTTCAGACCTTGGATTCCCTGTGTAGCTTTGGGGTTCAGAGTTAGCTCTGCTCTGACTGGGGTTCTGCCCTCCGCTGGAGACCCAAGGGTATAGTAAGGAAGCATCCTAGGCTTACTGAACCCTGGCCTCTCTCAGCTTCTTCCATAGACCTCCATGGCTGTGGGTACCCCACACTCACTCCTGCTACCTACTTGGGAGGGTTTGAAGACTGTCTGTAGCACTCAGAAAAGTGCAGAATGAGGCTGAGCATGCTGACCGAGGCAGATGGCACTGGAGCAACCATAAGCTGCTGGTTCATAGCTAACCCTATACACAGCTAGGGAGGGGGGTCTTAAGGATTGAGTTCTGTGCAGCCTAGTTTCCAAAGGGCCAGCATTTTGATCCCTGTGGGCAGAGAGGAAGCGGCCTCTTGGTAACATAGATTGATTTTCTGGGACCAGGTTGGGGTGGTGTAAAGCTCACAGCCACAGCATTTTCTCTTCTCTCGCTCACTCCATCAGCCTGGGGAGATGGGGTCTGGACTGATGCTAATTGAATCTGCATCTGCCCAACTGAAACCAAATCCCTGCCCCTCCCTCCCCCAGCAGCCCTCCTGGTGCCTTAGGAGCCTGAGTCCCAGAGACTCAAATGAAAACCTCACCATTTTCAAGGGAGGCCAAACAAATTAGTTTGCTTGAGTTTTCTGCACAGTGGGCATTTTTCTGGCTGCCTTCTAATTTAATTTTTGCTTTTCTGTTTCCTTGCGCTGTGTGCATAATAAGTTTCCTGGTATGCCGTTGTGTCTGCTGCAGACAGTCTGGGCCATGGTAGCCCAGCTGACATGGAGCACTGGTGATGTTTTAGCCTGGATTTGGTCTATGCTGACCCTGAATTCGGGAGCAAAAGTGGTAGCCCATGGCTGCTGCTGGGTAGTCACATGTTCTCTTGCTGGCTGACTTTATAGTTATTGATAAATTTGCTCACATGCTCATTCATTCATTCTTAATTCATTCATGCAAATGAGGTACATCAGGTGTAGGCAGATATAAGGGAGATCAAATCTCAAAGTACCTGGGCCATAGACCCCCACCCCCAACATACACACGGTGCTGTGAGAACTGGGGTCGCCTCACCTGAGCAAGGATGTATCCCTGAGGGAGTATTTGAGTGGGGTCTTGAGAGATGAAGAGATCACCATTGAAGCTCCTTTCTGTGGAAAGACGGAGCTGTTGGTGAGACTGACTTCATAGGTGAGCTCTTCCCTGGCCTTGAGTCCGAGCTGAAGCAGTTTTGCCGAAACCAGTCTCCGGCATCATGACCCAGTGTACCAACAGGCATTGATCCACAGTACAGAATCCACAAAAAGAGAGAGAGAGAGAGAGCTGAAAGCAATAGGGGTCACCTGCCCCAGGGCTTCCCATTTTAACACAAACATCAACAAGCAGACCTAACCTTAGGACTGTGCTTTGTGGGCTATGGAGCCAGCACTAGCTCTGTTTGTTGTTGCTCTATGTTACCTGACATGGTCCTGCTCCCTTCGTGGTGCTGCCCTGTGGGCGGAGACTCTCAGCAGAAAACTGTCCACGCTCCCTCTGGTCAAAGCAAAGGCCTCCTTCCCCTGTGCGTAGTTCTCGTGAGATCCGTTTGGAAAGAAACCCAAATCAAGCATGGCTGTTAGGTGTCTGTGGATGGAGGACGAAGAGACGCTTGCTTGCTTTGGAAGAGAAATGCCCATGGGACTGAAGTTCATCCAAGAGCAATGACCACAGATGTCCCATCTAGACTCAAGGAAGCTCTCCTGAGAGCCTTGAAGGAGGGCAGGCTGGGGTGGACTTGCAAGCAGTCCCAGCATGAGGGGAGTTCCCTCAACTGCAGACAGGTGCCCCATAATTGTCTTATCTCTCTTCTGTGTGTGGCCAATGTCATTCCCCCCAGGAAGCTTTCAAGGTGCCCGTACGGCTGATGTTGATGACTCTGTCACCTGCCTGGGTGAACGTACCAGTCTGCACTTCCTACTAGGAATAGCAGCATGGGCTGGGAGGCAAAGCAGCTCCAAGGTTCTGGCTCAAAGCTCCATCTTCATCTCTGCTCACCACCCAGAGTTCATGAACAAAACCCCTATCTTCCTGAAGTGATGGGGACAGCAGCTCAGCAGTCTCCAGCCCTGGGAGCTACCCAAGACACCAAGTGCTCCATGATAACAGTTCGGGGACGACCAGTAATACACAAGACTTGCACACAGGAGGCAATGGGGAACTGTGCTGGGAAGTGGGGAAAGGGAGACATGTCTGCAGAACTGGTCCATGTGAAGAAGGCTACTATGTTTCTAGGTCAGGATGGGGCCCCTGATCTTGGGAGTTGATCCAGAAAAGCTGAGGGAGCAAGGGACCTCAACCCTTAGAAATGGACAAGGGATTGAGAATGCAGAAATCAGCCCTCAGCGAATGAAGAAATCAGCCCTTGGGTAGGTACAGTTAGCTTATTTCCCACTAGGTCGTCAGAGACCCTCCTGAGAGGTCTTTCAGCATGTGTCACCAGGGCAACCAGATCTCCACATGTTGGAGACTCGTGTCGGGCCTGTACCTCACATCCCTACCGCACACCCCTACCTCATACCCGGCACAGGCATCAGAGTGGATGTGAGGAGCGAAAACTGTGCAACCCTCAGAAGATCAGTAAATCTTCATGCTCTTGGCTTTGGCTAAAGAGTCCAAGGTAGGACTATCCAAACAATAGCCAGAAAAGAAAATAAAAGAAATTGGACTGCGCTGAAGCACAAAGGCCCTCTTCATCCAATTATCCTGTCACGAAAGTGAAAATCCCACTTGTGAAATGACTTAACGGTTAAAGGTGCTTGCTTCTAAGCATGACAGCCAGAGTCTGAGGCCCGGGACCCACATGATAGAAGGAGGGACCCAGCTCCTCAAGTTGATGCCTGACCTCCATACTTAAGCCATGGCATAAGCTCCCCCAAACACACACACACACACACACACACACACACACACACACACACACACACAC